ACACGAAGAAGAAGGCGAGGAAGACAGGGAAATATGGCAGGCAATAAGTTGTGCAATCTATTGCTTGAGTCTTCTTTGTTCAAATTTACAACAGAGATATATTGCTTCGAAAACCATTAATTTCATCATCATCTTAATCCTCCAAAGTGTACACAATTTTTCCTTATTATGCGATTGTGTGAGCACACAAGTTTCAAAAAAATCAAAGTCCGTGAAAAAGGCAAGAGTGCCATGTAAAACCCGCTCGGATCGAGTGAAGTGTTTCCCAGCTCTCCACTCCAGAGCACAAAGCCTGGGCTGTAAGACAGAGACCATGTGTTACCCGTGCATCATGATCCTTCTCGTTCTGTCTTGTTTACTCCAAAGGAAAGGTAACACATAAACGTTTGGTACAAAACGGGCTGCAGAAGGTGCCGATTTAGAAGAACCGTGCTCATGTCTGTCCACCTGTTGGAGCTTCCCTCCTAGAACTGCTGTCTGGATTTGCCAAAGATAAATTGTCAATATACTCGGGCCATTGTCCCACCTTCTTCAACTTAAGGACCATTTTCCACGCCTATAATTTATAGACCAATCGGCACTCAGCAGGTGATATGATGAACTTCACGTCGTTCATCTTTAATTCCCAGGACTTTATTTTGTACCCACGTAGGACCTGGTCAATCTCGGAGTCAGGGTCATATTTTTGGAGGGAAAAAAAAGTCCAGTTCCTATCAGATTTGAGCCAGCGACCTTCTGATATACAGATGAGTGCCCAACCGTTACACCACGGCTGCTCCGGTTAACTTCAGAACTTCAGATTCATCTTATTAATCTCAATCCATATATGATGTTAAACTTCTTGTCCACAGTTCACTCATACCTCTACACATGTCAATGGAGTCCATATCTTAACGTCGACATCATCGTCTGTATCTTAAAATTTCCCACCCAGTAATAATAGCCAGTCAGACATGAGCTAACGCGCGTATCGCGCGAGCACACGCACACATTTTCAATAGGGCCTCAAGGGACATATCCTTGTTTAAGTGCTTAAATATAATAATGTCATAATGATGAGGATGTTGGGGGAATTGTAATGTTGGAGATGGACTGAATAACAAATATACAAAAAAATAAATGAAATGAAATATTTATAAATAAAAGACAGCATGTTTGAGAGGACCAGCTAAAAGATGTAAGCAGCTGAGGCCATCCTCCCCCCCCCCCCATTCCCTGCTCGTAAAAACATGGGTGAAGTGGGGGTGGTGTGGGGGGGGGGTGTGGTTACAAGCTTCATATTTTCGATGCCTCTGATCTTGAGATTTGTACGTATCTCTCCAGCCATCCCACAAACACATACGGACAGCACACAGCCTTCAAGCCACAGCAACACTTTTCTTGTTTACTCATTTATTATCTGACGCTGTCGGGATTATGAACGCAAGTTCATAAATCTAACATTTTGAGTTATATCAGATTCAGGCCATCTGTCAGCTATGCTACATTCATCATCAAATAGCAGGTCCTTAACGTCGCTCTCGCCTCAGCACACCTGAAAGTCTTTCTCTAGTAAATTCTCCAGCCCTATGTGCTTTTACAGCTAATGCATCTTCAATGTCTTGTATGTACCATCACAGAGGTCTGCTCTGCCTCGTTTTCCGGAAAATGTACCCTCCATCACCAGTCTTTCCAGGCCACCATGACGCTCAACACGGACAAAAGTACCTCAGCTTTCCGGACAGGATGCTGTTGATGAGCCAATTCTCCTCGATGCTCAAAACATGCAGGATGTCGATGTTTTTTCTTTATGATGATAATGGTAATGTTTAAAGAAAATAAAACAGTAAACAGTGATCAATATTATATTGCAAAGTTTATTTATTTATTTTCTTACATATTAAAATTCATATATGAGTGCGTAAAATATTGAATATAGTAAATTTGTTAAGAGTACACATTTCCATTAAACAGAGTGCTTGTTACAATTAGGTAGTACAAGTCGACCCGTCATAACACTAGCCATCCCTTTGTGGGATGCAATTTTTCGATATTTTGAAGCCCCACTCTGGCTCTTGCCAGGAGCCGCAATATAACCCGACGATAAACATGGTCTAATGGCTGAACGTGATTTCCAGGACCTCTTTACGGGTGATCCTCATCCATATGGTGGCACTTTGTGTAATCGGGTGTTTATGCCTTGTGTGATGTCCTGGTGGGGTAGAATGTACTACTAGAATTAGGTAGTAAAAGTAAAGGAACCTTTTCCTAACCTTAGGGTGTATTGGGCATATAGGGCTAGACCTATATTTTAAAGATCAGTCGGCATCAGTGGGTGATGTGGTCAACGTTATGCTGACCACTTCTCAGAACTTTACCTGACACCCATTTATGACTGGGTCAACCTGATAGCCAAGATTATTTTCGAGACAAAATTCCCGCTCTGTTTTGATTTGAACACAGGATCTTATTATCTGCAGGTGTGCACATAGCTGCTACATCACAACGGCTCCCACAGTTAGGTAGGGGGAAAAGGCATTTTAGTTGTCAAAAAAATGAACAAGTAATTTTCTTTCTGCCATGGAAAACTGTAATAAAGGGCTTCAAAGAAAGATGAATAGGAAGGTAAATCATAATGTTAAATTTATCATGATTGGACCAGGATAATCTGGACCAAGTTTTATCCAAGGCTTATTATTTAGGTTTGATTTTGCAGCTTCTTGCAGTAACCTATGTTCTTCTTCTTCTCTTTTTCCTGCTCTTGTTCTTTTTCTTGTTCTTTTTCTCCTCCTCCTCTTCCTGTTCCTGCGGCTATTTCTCCTACTTCTTCTTCTTAAACTCTTCTTCTTTTTCTCCTCCTTCTCTTCCTCTTCCTGCGGCTATTTCTCCTTCTTCTTCTTCTTCTTCTTCTTATACTCTTCTTCTTTTTCTTTAAATGAGAAGACTTGGCTCTCACGTGGGAGAACTGGCATCAAATCATCAGTAAACAAATTTTCTGCTGGGCTACACACATACATCCTATCCTAACCACACACATACATCCTATCCTAACCACACACATACATCCTATCCTAACCACACACATACATCCTATCCTAACCACACACATACATGCTATCCTAACCACACACATACATCCTATCCTAACCACACACATACATCCTATCCTAACCACACACATACATCCTATCCTAACCACACATATACATCCTATCCTAACCACACACACATACATCCTATCCTAACCACACACATACATCCTATCATAACCACACACATACATCCTATCATAACCACACACATACATTCTATCCTAACCACACACATACATCCTATCCTAATCACACACACATACATCCTATCCTAACCACACACATACACCCTATCCTAACCACACACACATACATCCTATCCTAACCACACACACACATCATATCCTAACCACACACACATACATCCTATCCTAACCACACACATACATCCTATCCTAACCACACACATACATCCTATCCTAACCACATTACTAACCTGCACCGTCGATGGCGACGGCACCAGCCATACGGCCCCAAGTCCTCAGACACAATCCTTCACTGTCCTTATAATTGCTATGATAGGCAGTAAAGACATTTTTTTTAAATAAATGAAGGCTGCTGTAATATTGTTTACTGTGGACATCTACCACGAAACCGTTTCTGATTTACAGAGCTAAAACATCTATAAAGTCATCCAAATAATTGCTAACTGCAAATAACTTGTTTTAAAAGAAATGTTAACCAACAAATTGATTTCAAATACACTGTCTGAATATGAATACACATTATGCCCAAAAAGCTGCTACTTAGGGCCAACAAATAAAAAATCTCCAGCTATAGAATCAGAAAAAGACAAAGAATCAAAAAGAGTGATTATATAAAAGACAGACTTTACAAACAATTATTTAACATACTCCATAATAGTCTTTCCCATTTGGTGGTCTGTGATATCACTTACACACAAACACACAGACACACACACAAAACCCTCAACTTTAGAATGCAAATCCATCATATCAACAAATTTGAAACGTTCTTCAGTGTGACTAAAATCTATAGGGTCTATGGCAGACCTTTACAAATAAGAGTTGTTTCCCCAGGTTTTAGTTAATGGAGAACCACTGCTCTAGACAACATATTATAATTTTTTCACCTCCTTCTTCTTCTTAGTGTTAGCCAGCTGTAAACTCTAGCTGACAGTTCTGGTTGTTCGTCCATTTCTGAACTTAAGACTTGATCCAGAACTTTAGTTTGTATGCACATCCATTTTACAGAGCTGGTTTATTTGCAAGCAGACTATTGGTTTCGTGCTCTCCGACTCTGAAGCAAACACCCATAATTAGTCAACTTACACAATATTCTTGTTTGGGCAGAGGGGAAAAAAAAGGGGGGGGGGGAGAGGTGGGAAGTGGGTCTAATCCTTGTTTTCCATATGGAGTCCCAAAACCCACACTGGGATTAATAAAACAGGATCAAGAACATTTACTAAGCCCCCCCCCCCCCCCCCCCCCCCTCCCCCCCCCACCTAATGACATTTCTCATCGTGTGACTTGTCCTTTGCAGAACATCACTCCCATCTCACATTGTGCCGGTAAGCTGTTCTGCTCTTTGCCAACATTTCTGTCCTACGAGTCTTCTTACCCAAGTTATCACTGATATTCCGTGTCATCGTTTGTGCTGGCTTAATCCTGACTGCTTTTCCCAAGACCCATGACCTATAGTAAGGTTTTGTTCTAACAACTGTTGTGTTTAGCACAATATTACTTTAGCCAGTTTGTGTCCATATTCTTTTAAACAGTCTCCATTGTTGTTAACTATAGAGCCAAGGTATTCAAAGTCTGTTACAATTTCATAAGAATATTTGACCAAAAGATAACCGTCTACAAGAAGAAAGATAACAGATAGTCTACAAAATGTTTAGCTACTGATAGATATATCTAAAATCAGATACAAATGTTGTACAGGAAATATTGTGAAAACAAATGTTCATTATCCCAGTCCTTGGAATGCTTTAACAGCTTTGACAGATTTCAGAAGCTTAGACTTTGCACTTGCCAGCTTTTCAACAACGATCTTATTTTCTGGGTCAATTTCCAGTTTGCTGGGGTCAGCAACTATTCTGGCCTTGATGAACCCTCTCATGATGGCCTCGTGAACGGCCACACGTTGACGAGTGACATTGTTAATGTACTCCCCAGTGTCACGAGCTAGAAGTCCGTCTCTGACAGCATCGGAGAATGAGACCTGCAGAATGGAGGAATTGGACAAGTTATGTTATTTTACCATAATCAACATCACTGCTCATTGGTTATTCCCATGTGTGATCGATCAGTCCTCTGATGCAACAGACCTCACAAGGTGCCTCTATGCATTGTTTCCATGAAAAGTTGGTTACAAAGTCTTCTATCCTGACCTCAAAGACAACACCAGCATTCTTCCCCAGGCTTCACTTCAAGCTCATGCAATTGTGTTAGTGCCAGAGATTCGTTACTATCCACCAGTTTACTCCATATAGCCCTGACGATTCTGCTCTGCCCATGCATCATGCAGCATGCTGGCATGCACTAAGTGCTAGTGATTTTTTAAAAATGTATATGACTGTATATATAATTATTGTGTTGGTGGCTAGATGTCCTCATGCGGATCTGAAGGTCCTGGGTTCGCGTCCTGACGAAGCTATGCTTTTTTTTTTTAAATGACCTTGACTCCCAGGGCAACCCAGCATTAAGTGGGTACCAGGTGCAGTCCTGGGAAGTAAAGGTGGCTGACGTGATGCTGACCACATCACCGACCAACTGCCAATTTGTCTATAAAAATATAAATCTAGCCCTATATTCCCAATACACCTAAAGGCGTGGAAAAGGGACCTCCACTTACTTTATTTATAAGTAATAGATTTAACAGTAAATCCTGTCTACATTTACAACTAAAGTCAATGGTTTTAATGTGACAGGTAGAGAATTTCCAGGATTTGAGCATATGGACAACATTGCATACAAATGTCTCACAAAGATTATGAACAGAATAAGACAAGCACAAACTGCCTTTCAGAATGTCAGAAAGAGGGTGCTAAAATCTTACATAGAAACTGTTCGGCTGTATGGCAGCCAATCTTGGAATGTCAGTGAACAAATCAGGAAGAATTTGGAAGCAACAGAGATGTGATTTCTGAGACGAATGTTTCGAATACCTTGGACGGCTAGAGTAACTAACAAGGATTGCTTGAAAGAAGCTAATGAAAGTAGATCTCTATATACAACAATAAGAAAGAGATAAACACTGTTCTTTGACCACATAATGAGAAGAGAGACATTGGAGAACATTGTGACAACTGGAAAGTTCCAGTGATAAAATGAATTAAAGAAGAATGAAGAGATAAGAAAAATGTCTGGGCAAATGACTATTATCAACAGTTAAAAGACGGAGAAGATGGCGCTATATTAGAGACATTCTGAAAAGAGATGAACAGTGAATAGCCAAACAGGCACTAAAATGTAAATAAAAGGAGTGAAGAAGTGAGGATGTCAAAAACAAATCCTGAAATGAACAATGATGAAAAAAGATAAAGTTGCTGCATGTTGTTGAAGTGATTGCATAGGACAGATCAGAACGGAGAAATACACTGCAAGAAATATGTGACATTCAATAACACAATAGGACAGTGAGTGAGTAGACAAGCAAATAAACTGGTTCAGGCCTTAGAGCTTTGGCTCCACATGCTTTAAATTATGTTGAAAGAAGCAGTAAGTAATCTATAGATATTGAAATAGGATAAGAGACTAAGACAACTTTCCACAATCACCAGAAAGCAACAGTCATGATTTTTGGGGCCACATTATAGAACATGGGCAACTGTAACCCGTGACAACTGGAAATACACTGTGTCTGTAAAGTCATGGTGCACTTTTGACCGGTCACAGGAAATCAACAAAACAAGACATGTGAAATCTGCGCCAAATAAAAGGAAAAACTCTCTAAGTTTCGTAGTATGATGTGCACTGAAATAGGTATGAAACTTTGAGTTTTCTTTTCACTTGGTGAAGATTTCACATTTCTATCTTGTTTCATTGATTTCCTGTAACCTGTCAAAAGTGCACCATAATTTTATGGACACAAGGTATATATGGAAGGAAGAGAAGTAGAGGAATACGTCAAGAAATGATTCTTGCCAGCATTGTGTCATAACATAGAAATAATTGTCAGCAAGCAAACTAACACAGGGTGTTGGAGACTGCAGAATGTGGACATGTATGATCATAAAAGGGAAGAACATTGTACATTGTTTGCAAGAAAAAAGTTAATCATACATTCTGTTTTGCTTGGAAGAAAAGGAGTTAAAAGATAAGGAGAAATAATATTTAAATATGTGATAAATTCATGTAATAAGATATCTGAAAATAGAAACAATATATGGGTGTATGTTAAATGTTTTGTTAGCATGTTGGTACACAGCAAAACTGTGCATTCAAAATACGAAAATCAAAACCAATACTGCATATAAATTCATGAATTACAGAGAAATCCACCTATTGTTTACCACTTTAGTACTGAAATAAACTCTATTCTCCCCTATGTGGATTCTAGAACCCTATTGTGAAGAATAAAAAGAATAGACCCACTGCCTCCCCAACAAATGTCATTGATGTTGACTAATTAGGGGCATCCTTCAAAATCAGAGGCAAGAAACCAACACTCTGTATACAAATAAGCCAGATCTGTAAATCGGATGTGCATGTAACAAACTGATTCTGAAACAAGACTAAAGTCCAGAGGGAAACAACTAGAACTGTCTGCAGGAGATTACAGATAGTGAATGTGAAGAAGAACTTTTTACTCAAATGTACGAAAAGCAACCACTCACCTTCTGTTTCTTTTTCTGATCAACAACTCCATTTACTGCATACGTCTTAGTGACAATCTCAGGAGCATGATGGACCTCTCCCTCATGATACTCCACCAAAACCGAACCACAGTGGATGGCGTCTGATATGGGGATATCCTCACCCTTTTCTGTTCTGATAATTCAAGAAAACTACATTCAATTACACTGTGTGGTCATCATCATTAAGTGCCTTGCCAGCTAGTGTAGGCGTTCATTATCTCCACAAATCTCAGTCTTCGTGTTCTGGATCAATTGCCCTGATGATATCCCTCCATGCCACTGTCTTAAGCCATCCACCATCATTCCCTCTTGATCTGCCTCTGCCTCTTCTACCAGTGTTCTTTCCAGTTGTCATGATATTTTCCACTGCTCCTTTTCTCATCACATGACTAAAGAACTTTGTTTGTATATATTGTTGTAAATAATTTTCTCTTTCTCTTTCCAACTATCCAGCACTATGTGCTTTCATAGCCAATGCTTCTTTCGGTTGTTGTGTCCATATTGACAAAAGTCTGCCTCATTTTCCAGAAACCGTATTCTATGTTACACTTCTCTCCCAGCCACCATGACGTTTAACTTGGCCAAAATATCTCAGCTTTCCAGAGAGGAAGCTGTTTATCTACTCGATGTCCAGATCATGTCATATTTTGACATTTTTCTTCTCCTTTTCGGTCCACTGTATTCTAAGAAAGGTTTGTTATCACAAACAATTTATTGTTGATTTTAACCACATGACTACCAACATACAAGTCTAATGTGATTTATAATGTTTGATAGTTGACAAGTGAAATGGTTTGCCCATTTAGAGAGAATGCCTTGTGACACCATACCATACAAAGCATACATGGAAAGAGAAGAAGGACGTAGAGCACGGGGTAGACCAAGAACAAGATGGAAGGATAACATCAGAGAAACTCTACAACAGCACGATGTGCCTATGGTCGAGGCAGCCAGAAGAGCTAGAAACAGAACCTTATATCTCCCTCGACACCCACAGCAGTAAAAGAGGAAGTGAAGAAGAAGAAGAAGATAGTTGGATAAAGACAAACTGTTTCAGCTCAGAAACTAACCTCTCCTTTTGTCCCTTTACCTTCCGCACTCATATCAAGCAATCCTGCCATTTGCCATCTTCTGCAGTTCCTTCTATGAACTCATCATAGTATTCAGATATCTCTTATTCGCGTTTCTGTGTGTTTTACGTATCTCTCTATCTCTTCTGCCCTGTGTGTCCCAGGGTAAGGACATTCTATTTATAATTTTATATTTTCTCAGAGTGTCTTAGCACTAGCACATTTGAATTATCTCATGATTATCTGGATGTGTATTTCTTTTGGTTTTTTCCTTAGCATTCTGCATTAGGGATTCTGATGCATGCACCAGTTTATTAATGTTTGTAGTTTATTAGTAAATGCTTTAGCTCTATACAGTAGTAGTACAATTATTTAATGTTAAAGGAGTACTTATCATGAACCTGCCCACATGGCGAGAATTCCTTCCCCTCCCATTCATGCTGTGACAGGTCGCACGTAGTGTCCTATCTTGTGGGGGTGTCGTGTATTCCTTTTTTTCAACAGCTTAACTGTTGTCTCTTTTCTAGTGTCACTGCTCACCTGCGTGATTATTTCCACGATGTGCTACTTGACAGATGGTTTGTGAGTATCGAAACGGTGATGTTTTTGTATTTCTACATTCCTTGTCAGTGGCTTTTTTTCTGGGGTGAAGCCACCGCTAAGGAACCTAGAAATACAAAAATATCTCAATTTTAAAACTCACAAACATTCGTGCCTTCGGCGTTTCCCTCTACAGTACTTCATACTTGTATGCAGGCACCTGCTGTGCCTCAAAGAGACTCGTAACAACACCACCTCCCACAAACATTATATACGGTGAACGAACGCCAAACGAAGCCATCGCATAACATAGGACAGGCTGTGCGACTTTCCTAAGGAATGAATGGGAGGGTAAGTAACTCTGACCATGTGGGCACGTTTGTGAGAAGTTCTGTTAAAGGTAAATACTCTAAGTTTGGCACTATATATATTTTTTTTTCGGGGCTGGGGTGATTCATGAGCAAGAATACCTCTAATGCTCCCTAACAAGCATGTCCTAAAAGGTGACAAATTAGAAGGGTTTCCTTCAAAGTTACGGGTGCATCTGCTTAAGGGAAGAGGAACCATCTGCATACAAATAAGCCAGATCTGTAAAAATAATGCGCAGGTGAAAATTAAGTTCTGTAACAAGTTCAAAGTCCAGCGAATGAACAGCCCCATAAGTTTCTACCAGAGTCTTCAGCCAGTGAACACTAAGAGAAGGAAGAACTTACTTTGTTTAATTTTCTTTGAAAGGTCAATTATCTACAAATTCTAACCTGTAAGTTGAACTGTTGGTGTCCAGAATGCCATTGGCTGTTGCCTGGGCAACTGACAGTGTCTCTTCTGTCACTGGATCAATGACTCCTGTAATGGTGTATGGCCTGGATTCCTACAGATGTAATCAGGACAGGACGAATATTGCATATGGTTAAGTACATGTTTTATACACATTTAAATACATAAGCACATTCTCTTTGTGAGTCTTTGTGGTCATAGTATATATATATATATATATAAATATATATGTGTCATTTTTTTTTTGGTCACAGTCAGTATATGTGTATATATATTAGGGCTGTACCAAATATTCGCTTCGTATTCACTTCGGGGCCGAATAGTGGACCTAATAACTATTCGGTATTCGGCCAAATAGTTGCGGTCGGGCTGAATGCGAATAGTGGTTACCTTACACCCGTTTCTGCATACACTGCGATGGACTGAAATAATTCTCTCATTAACACAATAGCTGCTGTTGCCTAAGTCTGTCATAGCGGGGGAAACTGCAGGCCGGTTGCGTGGTACAGCAGCTGGCAAGGCTTTGCCTGCTGACTCGACTGAGGCGTTACAGCAGAGGTTCTCAAACTGGGTGCGTATGATAGGGGTGCCGCGGCGAAAATCAAGAAAAGTCGGCTATAAATTGTGATTATATTTTGGCTGAAATTTTAAAGTGGAAAATGTGGTCTGTACAATAGTAACTGTTAGCCTCGTCATGTAAGCACTTATATTTAAAGGCAATGCGTTTTTTTTTTTGTGTGCTTGTGTGTGTATGAGTCGGTGTGTGTGTGTGTGTGTGTGAGAGAGAGAGAGAGAATGAGAGAGAGATTATACATTTTTTGTTCTTTCAGGGTGTCTTCGCACAAATCAAATTTGAAGATATTGCTAACGGGAATATAAAGTTGCGTTTCAGTTACATCCAACAAAGGACCGAGCGAACGGGAGCCTGAAGAAAACTAATCACAGACATGAAAAGGAGACAGTCGTCATTTTTCGGCCATTTTATGAGAAGATGGGCCACTGGAAAGATCTGTGAAAGGAGGGATAGAGGAAGACAACGAGAGAAGATTCTTGAAAGTCTTGTTGCAAGGCCTGGAGGTGTGTCAGCATGTGAACTAATATATGCTGCAGGAGATCGCAGATTGTGGTGGGGCATAATTGCCCAGGCCTGTCGGCAAGGCACCTGATGATGATGAAACACTATTCATTTTCGGCCGAATAGTTGGTCCTACTATTCGTATTCGACCGAATAGTGAAAATCTCTATTCGGTACAGCCCTAATATATATATATATATATGTTTGTGTGTGTGTGTGTGTGTGTGTGAATGAGTGAGTGGATGGATGGGTAGTTGGATGAGTGTGTGAGTTGGGAGGGGGGAGGGGCGGTGAGTGAGTCAGTCTATAAATGAGTAAGTGAGTGAGATATGCATGTAAAGGAGTGTCTTCATGAGAATATCAAATGAGTACCTAAGTGGGTGCATGTCTGTGTGTATCTGTATGGTTTATTTTCTTTGTAGTCACAACGAGCAAACTTATTCTATGTGCTTGAATAATAAGAAAGAAGTTCCTACCTTTGTGATTTTAATGGTGATCAGGCCATATGAGTTCTTCTCCTCCCTGATCTTCCTCTTGCTGACAAACTCCATGATGACTCGTCCATCGTTCATCGCATCAACCATAGTTACCGACTTCAACCAAAGTATTTTCAAAAAAATTTGACCATAAAAAATAATTTATGAACATGGGATATTTAATTCTTTCAGCCACAAGTAGTTCTTAATTTAGTGCTTTCTATCCCAATGTTTGAGTATCTCAGAACAACAACAACTGTTTAGACTTATGGAACGGAAAAATACAGTTCTGTGATGGAAATAGTTATGGTAAAATTCACATAGAATGTTGAATGTTGAATTAAGAACCGACATCACAGCACTCGAGACACCCCTATAACTGCTACGTCAATATCTTCTGCAGCAAGCGAAGAGATAAAATGCTGATGGTACCAGTAACTGTCTGAATGTATATCCGACTCGCCTTCCCTCTGAGTGTTGAGCGTCGGCCAGATCCCCTTGTAACTCCTCACAGTGCCATTCTCCTCAGACCGTAAAGATCTATCTGTTCGTCGGCACTTTTTACTTGCTCCCAAAGAGCCCTCACAACATCCAGCTTGTGATACATCAGTTCACCACCAAATGGTGCTGAACCGACCAGTAATTCAAGCAGAATGTTAACATTGCAGAAGAATGGGACAAAAGAGAGTAAAAGAAATGTGTACCTTGTAAAGAATAACTGATGAACCTATCTTCTTTGTACTGAAAGTGTTAAGTATCGGTAGGGGCCATATTTTTAACAGCCTGCAATATGCTGATAATAAAGTTTTGATCTCTAACAATGAAACACAACATCAAGAAATGATGGACATGATTTTAATAGAGTCAAAACAACAGTTTTAGTTTGAAAAGCAGCAAAACAGAAGTAATGGTAATTACAAAGAAAATGGACCCTCCAAAATGCAATATCAAAACCAATGGGACAATCCTCAAGCAAATTGATATTTTTAAGTACTTGGGCACCCTGATAACAACAGATGGAAGATGAATTGAAGATGTTAAACTTAGAATAGCTCAAACAAAGGCAGCATTTTACAAAATTAAGAATATTTTATACTATCTTTCTTTTTTATTGGAGACAAGAAAGAGAATTCTTAAAAGCCATATAAATCTTATCCTGATATACAGAAGTTAATCATGGACAGCTTGGTCCATAAGTGAAAAATTATTTGGAAGCTGCAGATATGTGGTTTCATATATGAGTGTTGAGAATTCTCTGGACACAAACAGAGGAATGAAGATGTCTTGAAAGAAACTAACTCACAAACATAATTGATCCCGCACCTCAGATGGAGACTATCGATATTCTTCGGCCATGTCACACGCAGGAGAAAACTGGAGTACAGAAGGTTGTGAATAAACATGACTACCAGCACCACACGGCATGGACTTCAAGAAGAAGAATATACCTTTATGGTAGTAGCCACTCTTAAATGTAGCTGGACGCTCTCATGTCAGTGTTGCGTGCTGATTTGGGAGAGTGTAATATTGTGTGAAGGGACAGAGTGGTATGATAGTACTTTCCAGGAGTTCAAAGGCAAGAGTGTCAACATTGGTCCGGGTAGTGAGGGGGAGAGAATGTTGACCAGTGAGAAGTGTAGTGTGAGTCTCGAGAACGCCCACACGAGTGTGCCTCTCGTGCAACATCAGCCGCCCACATGGGTTCGGCAGGGATATATTGGGGCTGCGTAGACAGTCCGAATCCGTGATCTGTAGCCAGATAGCTAAAGCACTGGGGAAGTGCAGGTATAGTACACACCCAGCACGAGAATGCTGCGAGTCAGTCAGAGTCCAAGGCGGAGAAAGAGAGAGAGAGACCAAGTCAGAGTCAGTATCTCTCAAGTGAGGCAGACAGAGTACCGTGCACCTATCAGGCATCAAGGTCTGAGTAAGGGTTGTGATTGCGGTACTTGCCGAAGGTATAGTCCCGCTGGCGAAGTAAGTCTAAGGGAACTGGATGCTCCAGTGGTGACTGTTCTGGGTGACGGCACAAGGAGGCCTAGGGTCACCACGGAAACAGAACAGTAGGGATGCCCACAAAGAGCTGTGTGCTAGAGGGAACTTGTGTTAGCAGTCCTGTTGGTCATTGGAGTCCTTCGACAGGCTGACGTGCTGTGTGCTTTGGAGAACGGGCATGGGAAGTCGGTCTCCAGTCAGCCGTGGTTGTCTGCGGAAGTAATAGCAAGGTCCAGTGGATAGGCGAGTTTGTCCTGTTCGGCCGTACAGCGACCCCAGAGTTGTGGGAAGCTGTAGACCAGGGAGCGAACCCATGACCTTCCGATCCACGGCAAGCATCCACCCGCTCTGCCACGGCGACTCCAAATGCAATCTATGCAAAACATCACCCATCTTGTGCCGACTGGTCTATAAAATTTTAGGTCTAGCCCCTATATGCCCTATACGCCTAAAGGCGTGAAAAAGGGACCTTTACTTTCACTTTTTATCAGACAAGGCACTTCAGAGAGCAATGTTATGCAGATACAAGAGTAACAGAACCAGAGGTCGACCACGCAGAAGATGGACAGGAGAAATTACAGAGACACTGAAAAGTACTTTATAATACAGAAGGACCCATTCCAGAGATCTCTTCCTGCCCTGCGAGGCATTCCAGAAGTAGTGAGAAGAAAAAGAAGATAAAGAATGCTAAGAAGAAGAAGAAAGTCGAGGCTAACTCACCTGGCCAGATATGGGGTTGGTGTAATGTTTTTGCTCCTTGTCCACGATGCCCAACATGATGGCCTGCTGTAGGGTCAGCTGGGTCATGTTGTCCCGAGGATCCACGACCCCTGTTATTATAAACGTATGTCTTTCCTCTTCCAGGGTTGAGGTTACCTGTTATGAAATAACATGGCTTCTTCAATAACAGAACTTGAAATTATAGGAGA